GGGAAAACCCCTATTAGTATATGTTGGTACTGGCAAAGGAGGTCCCATGATGTAGCTGCTTACCCCGAGCTCTCATTACTCTGATGGTGCGTTGTCTTAGAACTGTGCGCCTTTTGGCGTCATCTGGTCGAACACCATATGAGACTAGGCTCTAAAGAAAGCTGTCTCTGGTGTGGACCAATCAGTTTCAAAGACAATGCATAAATGATCAGAGTGTTGTTTTTCGTTTGCATTTGACTGCAAGTATTGTGGTTAATGTAAGCATGATTCATTGCAAAAGGTGTCAGTTTTGTTGCCAGAAAAAAGGGAAAACCCCTATTAGTATATGTTGGTACTGGCAAAGGAGGTCCCATGATGTAGCTGCTCACCCCGAGCTCTCGTTACTCTGGTAGTGCGTTGTCTTAGAACTGTGCGTCTTTTGGCGTCATCTGGTCGAACACCAATACGAGACTAGGCTCCAAAGAAAGCTGTCTCTGGTGTGGACCAATCAGTTTCAAAGACAATGCATAACTTATCAGAGTATTGTTTTTTGTTTGCATTTGACTGCAAGTATTGTGGTCAATGTAAACATGATGCCTTGCAAAAGGTGTCAGTTTTGTTGCCAGAAAAAAAGGGGAAAAACCCTATTAGTAAGACTTTACTCCGGTCGATTTCGAACGTGTTGTACGGCATGTACACTCAACGCGGGAAACTTGCTTTCAAAGTTCTGTGATCTCCCGTAGGTGTAGATGCCACCGGTTCTTCACGTTCCGCAGATGTAGACTCCACCTCTGCATTCTATTGCAAAGGTGGCAGGCATTTTGACATACGGACAGGTTTGTTCGTATCTGAAAGTTCGTAAGTAGAGGAAGTGAGACCTATGACAAAATGTGCCGTTTCCCAGTTTTGTCACGAGCAACAAAAAACACTTTTCGATTTAAAGCTTCTTTCGTGACTGCAGGGATTCATCTTCTTGGTTCTTTCGGTAAAGTCACGTAGAAGGGAAGTAATAAAATAATAAAAATAAACCATAATACAATTTCGATTTAAAGCTTTCGTGACTGCAGGGATTCATCTTCTTGGTTCTTTCGGTAAAGTCACGTAGAATGGAAGTAATAAAATAATAAAAAGAAAACAATAAAATTTCTATTTAAAGCTTTCGTGACTGCAGGGATTCATCTTCTTGGTTCTTTCGAAAGAACCAAGAAGATGAACAACACACTTGATCATCGTCTTCATGTATCAACATTGTAACCCTTTCCGATGACGTACGTAAGTGAACGTCATCGGTTTTTCTCCCATTCCATTCCGATGACGTTCACGTAATCGGAAGTAAAAATCCACGACGGGAGGGCGTGCAGCGGTCTTGTCGCTACGGTTCTCTGCGGTGAGTAACGACGTTTTTTAAAAAACAACAACAGCAGCGCTGCTATAGTAGTAGGTTTTTACCCTTTTAAACTGGTACAAAACTGACACCTTTATTCAAGGCATCATGTTTGCAATAACCACAACACAAGTAGTCAAACAAGCAAACAAAAAGAAACAACTCTGATAATGGTAATGATATGCACTGTCCTTGAAGTTGATTGGTCCACACCCGAGACAGCTTTCCTTAGAGCCTAGTCTCCATTGGTGTTGGACCAGATGACACCAAAAGGCGCACAACTCAAAAAATCATTATCGGAGTTGTTTCTTTTAGTTTGCTTTTTTGACTGCTTGTGTTGTGGTTATTGCAAACATGATGCCTTGAATAAAGGTGTCAGTTTTGTACCAGTTTAAAAGGGTAAAAACCTGCTACTATATTTTGCCACTGGTAAAAGAGATCTCATAGTGTAAATGCTTACCCCGAGCTCTCAATACTCTGATATGGCACTGTGTTTGAGTTGTACGCCTTCTGGTGTCATCTGGTCCAAGACCAATGGAGACTAGGCTCTAAAGAAAGCCGTCTCGGGTGTGAACCAATCAACTTCAAGGACAGTGCATATTATTATCACTATCAGAGTTGTTTCTTTTTGTTTGCTTGTTTGACTACTTGTGTTGTGGTTATTGCAAACATGATGCCTTGAATAAAGGTGTCAGTTTTGTACCAGTTTAAAAGGGTAAAAACCTACTACTATATTTTGCCACTGGTAAAGGAGGTCTCATAGAGCAACGCTGCTGCTGCTGCTGCTGCTACTACGCCTCTCGAAACGAAATGAACGCCGAAACCCGCTCGCGCGTTCCGATGATTCGGCGTTGAACGGGGGAGACACCACCCACCCCGCAACTAGCAGGCATCTCGAAATGTTGAAGGGCTAAGTGGGGGGGGGGGGGGGTTTAAATGAATTTTAAATGAAGCGGTGCTACAGAGCGTGTTAATTACACTTGTAATTATGAAGTGTCAATTTAGTGCATTCGGCGAGACATTTGGGTCTGAAATGAAAAGGTCTTTGCTTTCTTTTTTCCCCACCCCTTTGAAGTCAAGGATCTTGCTTTTCATTTAATTTGCTCCCATCTCCTGCGTTCCCCCGGTGCAGTTGCTAATGGTTTGTGGAGGGAGACGGGCATTGATGTGTCCTTTGTGCTGACTGCGGAGCGAATGTTTGCCACAAGTTTGGTGCAATTCCGTGCCACGTTTTAACGTGTCCGCGCCGACACTCTAAATAACCACGTTGAGATAATTGGCGCTAAACAACCGGGTGACATGTTCGGGCACGGCGTACGTGCAGAGGATGCACAAAGCGCACGTTTAATTTGCAATGAAACCACATTTATAGGATTGTCATTCTTCAAAGCTCCTTTCATTTCGGGACGCTGTTCCGTTAACCACGTGAGAATTGGTCGAGATTGATTATCTTTTGGGAAGCGGTGGCCATCGTTCAGTTTAATTTCATGGCGTGGATGAGTAATATTCAGCCGATGGCTGCATTGCAAGATGAAGCCACTGAGTAGTACCTCGTAAGAGATGTTACATTTCGAATTTAAAGCTTTCGTGACTGCAGGGATTCATCTTCTTGGTTTTTTCGGTAAAGTCACGTAGAATGGGAATAATAAAATAATAAAAATAAAACATAATAAAATAATTCTCACGACGTTTCTGTCTGTCGAGAAGACAGAGTCTGAAAAAAAAATTAACCCGTAAAAAATAAGTTTTTCACTATAAATCCTTTATATGCGTGGCGGCTAGAGTCCTCTCGTCCTCTGGCTTGAGATGGCTGCCACCTATGGGTCAGATGATTGCCTGCCACCATTAAGCAATTGGTAATTAAATATAATTTTTTTTCCTAAAAAGTGTAAAATTTAGGAAAACATTTTTCACGAAAATAAATTGTCACGCACAACGAGTCTGTGTGCAAAATGTCAGCTCGATTGGATCACGGGAAGTGGGTTAAAAAACTACGGAAAGATTTGCACGGTCGTAAGCGCGCAAGCAAGCAAGCAAGTGAACTTAATATAAAGGATTTAAGAACAGGTCTGTCGAGAAGACAGTCTTAAATTTCAGACGCTGTCTTTCCGACAGACCTGTTCTTCACCTGAGGACGGCTGCTTGCGTTGTGGCCGAAACGTCGTGAGAATTGTATTTTATTATGTTTTATTTTTATTATTTTATTATTTCCATTCTACGTGACTTTACCGAAAGAACCAAGAAGATGTTACATTTGTTAGCGTATAGAAAAACAAATCGTAAGAAGGAACACAGCGCAATTTCAACACAATGTAGGCGCATCAACATTCATCTGCAGTGGCTAAAGAGTTACACTTTACAGCCTACGAGGAATTTCAATAAAAAATTATCAGTGTTAGGCAGAGCGTGTGAAACACGTGCAAGTAAATGTGTATTTTAAATCAAGTTCGGAATTTAAATAGGCTGTTGAGAAATTCTTCCTGGCTGGTGGAACTTCAGTTCCAGCATTGTTGTTTTCCATTTGCTATGGGCGTGACATGGAATACAAAACCATAGTTGAGTGAGTTTCGGTACAGGGGTCTTTAATTTCCCTGCATGATATTTCTAGATTATCCTTTAAAACTGCTTTTGGTTGTAAGTTTTGTTGTCCATCCCCCGCACGTCCGATTAGCACGTTTGGCTACGTACGGCGCGAAAGAAGTTCAACATCCGTACGATTGGACATACGTACGACCCGGTGCAAATCGGGGATGGAGAGAGGTCGGCAAAAATATTTCCTCCGGTTTCAAACAGAAACGTTCCGTTTCCTTGACTTCTCCGAGTCTTTTCGAATGTACCTGGTTATCTTCTTGGTTCTTTCGGTAAAGTCACGTAGAAGGGAAGTAATAAAATAATAAAAATAAAACATAATAAAATAATTCTCATGACGTTTCGGCCACAACGCAAGCAGCCGTCCTCAGGTGAAAACCAGGTCTGTCGGGGAGACAGCATCTGAATGAAACAGCACACGAGCTTAGAGAATATATTTAAGCTGGGTTGGGAGGGGGGGAAAGGGCGCTTCGACAAAATAATTTGCATATCATGAGGAATTTAGCATATTTATGGGAAATGCAGGAATGTGAATAGTACGAATTATTTCCATTCTACGTGACTTTACCGAAAGAACCAAGAAGATGAATCCCTGCAGTAACGAAAGCTTTCAATCGAAATGTTTTTTATTGTTTAATATTTTATTTATTTTATTATTTCCCTTCTACGTGACTTTACCGAAAGAACCAAGAAGATGAATCCCTGCAGTAACGAAAGCTTTAAATCGAAATGTTTTTATTATTATTTTATTATTTCCCTTCTACGTGACTTTACCGAAAGAACCAAGAATGTTAATCTCTGACATCCCGTCAGCGTTGGACACCGATGCGGGTTCATACCGTTGGCACGCGCGCGCCTTGGTCTGTGTCGGGGCTGCTTTACGCTTTTCCGTTCGATGAGGCGGCGTTCTCCCCGCGTTGCCGTCACCCCTGACGCTCGCAAACCGGCCGCGTGGTACGGACCCCCCAACTTCCCCGCCCGCGTCTCGCGCGGCTGACCCCCGCGTCTCTGACCCACCGCCCCACCGCCCCCGGTGTTTCGCCCGCAGGCATCTGTCGGAGAAGGGGATTGAAGAATGTAAGGGGCTATCTCCCGGCGTGGACACGGACTCCATCGTCAAAGTTGCCCTCAATGTAAGCACAAGCCTCTACCCCCCCCCCCTCTCTCTCCTCTCTACCCCTTTCCCGCACATTGTATGTATGTGTTGTACGTACGTTGAACTTCTTTCGCGCCGTACGTAGGCAACCGTTGCTGATCGTGTGTTCGGGAATGGTGGATGTAGTAGTGGTAGTGGTGTTGGTGGTCGTAGTGGTGGTGTGGTGTTGGTCGTAGTGGTGGTGTGGTGTTGGTGGTCGTAGTAGTGGTGGTGGTGAGATGATGGTAGTGATAGTAGATGTAGTAGTGGTGTGGTGTTGGTGGTAATAGTTGTGGTGTGGTGTTGGTGGTAGTAGTGGTGTTGTATGTACATTGAACTTCTTTCGTGGCGCTGACGTGCTCCCCCCCCTCAACCCACACATTTAAAATGTTTCCTGCACGGTATCCACGCCGAAGCTTGCGCGCTCCGTGAACTGGTTGAGAACCACCGTTGGAACCTCATTTGCCAGTAAAAAATATGATAATTGGTTTTTTACCCTTCTATCTGGTTGAGAACCGTCGCCCGGCCGCTCGACAGTGAACGTCAGGCTCTGTGTTGCCCTCCGCGCTTTTCCCAGGGCGATCTGCGCACCATCGGGGACAAGTTCCTGCCGGAGGAGATCACGCGGGGGAAGGTGGACAAGGTGAGACCCCCCCCCCCCCCCCCCCAGCTCCCACTTGCAGGCAGGGGCACGGCTCTGTGCAGGCAGGAAGTGAGCTTGGGTTACAGGGTGAGCGAGTTGTTGTCGCGTCAGTCGATGATGGTGGCGTTTGCCGTGACTTCTCACTGCGGCACATTGGGCCTTGTCAAGGCTTTCACCATCTTCTACTTCGGTGGATGGCTGAGCGGTGAGGGTGGATTAATCGGTTGCTGTTGCTGTGGAGACCGGAAGATCGTTGATCGATGTTTCGTGGTCACTGGGTCGATGATGATGGCGTTTGCCGTGATTTCTCACTGCGGCACATTGGGCCTTGTCAAGGCTGCTGCATGAAATCATTCCGGTGGATGGGTGAGAAGTGAGGGTGAGGAGTGAGGAGTGAGTTGGGTCAGTTGTTGTCGTATTGGAAATCTGAAGATCGTTGATCGATGTTTCCTGGTCGCCGGGTCGATGATGGTGGCATTTTGCCGTGATTTCTCACTGCGGCACATTGGGGCCTTGTCAAGGCTTCTACCATCTTCCACTTCGGTGGATGGCTGAGCGGTGAGGGTGGATTAATCGGTTGCTGTTGCTGTGGAGAGCGGAAGATCGTTGATTGATGTTTAGTGGTCACCGGGTCGATGATGATGGCGTTTGCCGTGATTTCTCACTCGGCACAGCGGGGCTCGTGAAGGCTGCCGCATTAATTCACTCCGCTGGATGGGTGAAGAGTGAGAGCACGGTGGGTCGGTTGTCCCGCTGGAGACCGGGAGATCGATGGTCGATGGTCGTCACGTCGATGATGATGGCATGCGTCGTGATTTATCACTCGGCGAAGTGGGCCTTGTCAAGGCTGTTGCCAATTTACACTCCGGTGATTGGGGAGTGAGGAGTGAGGGTGGGATGGGTCGGCTGCTACTGCTGTGTCGAAGGTCACCGGGTTGATTACGACGATGATGGCATTTGAAGAACGCTGGTTCAAGGTGATGGCATGAGAGTCAGCTTGGACGAGTGAGTGTGGCGGGGTGAGCTTTTGGTGGCGGGGTTTGGGGTGGGGGGCAGTCGAAATTCACGGGCAGAGAGGCCAGGGGAGAGACGTGGGTTGCGAGACGCGTCAGGGAGAGATGGCGGTGGGGAGAGAGAGGGGTGTGAGCAGGGTGAGAGTGGACGGGGTGTGGGGGTGAGAGGGGCGGGGGAGCAGTGCGTGCGTGGCGTGAGGGTTAGGGTCAGGGCGGGTTTCTTTGTAATTTTGCTTAGGAGACAGTCACTCGCCGCCGCCTCCGAAGACGCTTGCGCGTTTGATTGGCGAGGGCCTCCCCCCTCCACCTTTGATGTCATTTATTCGCCCGGGTGCCGTTCCGCTGTGTTTTTTTTTATGTGCGCGCTTCAATGCGTGGGTGATCATTAGGGTAATCACGGAGTGGGGTTTGGTGTTTTTTTTTTACTCGTGCCTAGTAACGTCGGCCAACAGGGTCAGTTACTCAGAGTCAAAATGATCAATCCCCTTTCGTCGGTCATCTTATTCTTCTTCTGGCTTTATTTTGGTGATTTCGAAAACGTTTTTTGGTTTGGCCATGTTTGATTGTTGTAGTACGGAGTTAGACTGATGGCCTTAATCTAAGTTGTCTTGTGGTTGTTGTTGTTTGACTTGCATCCCACTAGGATTTTTGCACACAGCCTCGGTGTACGGTGCTTTTTTCTGGAACTTTTTCAGTTTTTTTTCCTGGATTTTTAGTTTTCACTCAGTCACATAGTCACTTTAAGATGTTTTCTTGTTCATGTTTTAGTTTTTTTTGTTGCGGTTGCACCCGATTCAAGAGCCGAATGGCTCACAGGGCTATACCTAATACATGAACTTGAACTCACTCACACTCACTCAATCACCCACTCACCCACTCACTCACTAACACACTCACCCACTCACCCACCCACTCACCCAATCACCCACTCACTCACCAACACACTCACTCACTCACACACCCACTCACCCAATCACCCACTCACTCACCCACTCACTCACCAACTCACTCACACACCCACTCACCCAATCACCTACTCACTCACCAACACACTCACCCACTCACCCACCCACTCACCCAATCACCCACTCACTCACCCACTCACTCACCAACTCACTCACACACTCACACACATTTTCTGTTTGCAAATTTTCACTTTAAGATGTTTTCTTGTTCATGTTTTTGTTTTCTGTTTGTTGCGGTTGCACCCGATTCAAAAGCCGAATGGCTCACAGGGCTATATACCTAATACATGAACTTGAACTCACTCACACTCACTCAATCACCCACTCACCCACTCACTCACTAACACACTCACCCACTCACCCACCCACTCACCCAATCACCCACTCACTCACCAACACACTCACTCACTCACACACCCACTCACCCAATCACCCACTCACTCACCCACTCACTCACCAACTCACTCACACACTCACTCACCCAATCACCTACTCACTCACCAACACACTCACCCACTCACCCACCCACTCACCCAATCACCCACTCACTCACCAACACACTCACTCACACACCCACTCACCCAATCACCCACTCACTCACCCACTCACTCACCAACTCACTCACACACCCACTCACCCAATCACCTACTCACTCACCAACACACTCACCCACTCACCCACCCACTCACCCAATCACCCACTCACTCACCCACTCACTCACCAACTCACTCACACACTCACACACATTTTCTGTTTGCACATAGTCACTTTAAGATGTTTTCTTGTTCATGTTTTTGTTTTCTGTTTGTTGCGGTTGCACCCGATTCAAAAGCCGAATGGCTCACAGGGCTATATACCTAATACATGAACTTGAACTCACTCACACTCACTCAATCACCCACTCACCCACTCACTCACTAACACACTCACCCACTCACCCACCCACTCACCCAATCACCCACTCACTCACCAACACACTCACTCACTCACACACCCACTCACCCAATCATCCACTCACTCACCCACTCACTCACCAACTCACTCACACACTCACTCACCCAATCACCTACTCACTCACCAACACACTCACCCACTCACCCACCCACTCACCCAATCACCCACTCACTCACCAACACACTCACTCACTCACACACCCACTCACCCAATCACCCACTCACTCACCCACTCACTCACCAACTCACTCACACACCCACTCACCCAATCACCTACTCACTCACCAACACACTCACCCACTCACCCACCCACTCACCCAATCACCCACTCACTCACCCACTCACTCACCAACTCACTCACACACTCACACACATTTTCTGTTTGCACATAGTCACTTTAAGATGTTTTCTTGTTCATGTTTTTGTTTTCTGTTTGTTGCGGTTGCACCCGATTCAAAAGCCGAATGGCTCACAGGGCTATATACCTAATACATGAACTTGAACTCACTCACACTCACTCAATCACCCACTCACCCACTCACTCACTAACACACTCACCCACTCACCCACCCACTCACCCAATCACCCACTCACTCACCAACACACTCACTCACTCACACACCCACTCACCCAATCACCCACTCACTCACCCACTCACTCACCAACTCACTCACACACTCACTCACCCAATCACCTACTCACTCACCAACACACTCACCCACTCACCCATCCACTCACCCAATCACCCACTCACTCACCAACACACTCACTCACTCACACACCCACTCACCCAATCACCCACTCACTCACCCACTCACTCACCAACACACTCACTCACTCACACACCCACTCACCCAATCACCCACTCACTCACTCACCCACTCACTCACCAACTCACTCACACACTCACACACATTTTCTGTTTGCACATATTCACTTTAAGATGTTTTCTTGTTCATGTTTTTGTTTTCTGTTTGTTGCGGTTGCACCCGATTCAAGAGCCGAATGGCTCACAGGGCTACACCTAATACATGAACTTGAACTCACTCACACTCACTCAATCACCCACTCACCCACTCACTCACTAACACACTCACCCACTCACCCACCCACTCACTCACCAACACACTCACTCACTCACCCACCCACTCACCCAATCACCCACTCACTCACCCACTCACTCACCCACTCACTCACACACTCACACACATTTTCTGTTTGCACATAGTCACTTTAAGATGTTTTCTTGTTCATGTTTTTGTTTTCTGTTTGTTGCGGTTGCACCCGATTCAAAAGCCGAATGGCTCACAGGGCTATATACCTAATACATGAACTTGAACTCACTCACACTCACTCAATCACCCACTCACCCACTCACTCACTAACACACTCACCCACTCACCCACCCACTCACTCACCAACACACTCACCCACTCACCCACCCACTCACCCAATCACCCACTCACTCACCCACTCACTCACCAACTCACTCACACACTCACACACATTTTCTGTTTGCACATAGTCACTTTAAGATGTTTTCTTGTTCATGTTTTTGTTTTCTGTTTGTTGCGGTTGCACCCGATTCAAAAGCCGAATGGCTCACAGGGCTATATACCTAATACATGAACTTGAACTCACTCACACTCACTCAATCACCCACTCACCCACTCACTCACTAACACACTCACCCACTCACCCACCCACTCACCCAATCACCCACTCACTCACCAACACACTCACTCACTCACACACCCACTCACCCAATCACCCACTCACTCACCCACTCACTCACCAACTCACTCACACACCCACTCACCCAATCACCTACTCACTCACCAACACACTCACCCACTCACACACCCACTCACCCAATCACCCACTCACTCACCCACTCACTCACCAACTCACTCACACACTCACACACATTTTCTGTTTGCACATTTTCACTTTAAGATGTTTTCTTGTTCATGTTTTTGTTTTCTGTTTGTTGCGGTTGCACCCGATTCAAAAGCCGAATGGCTCACAGGGCTATATACCTAATACATGAACTTGAACTCACTCACACT